TGGGGCAGCCCTGCTGCTCCCAGGGTGGATGGAGGTGTCCACAGCCACTGCAGGAAGCTTCAAGGACCCTCATCCAAGGGCAGCTGTACCCTCTCCACCAGGACCAGCAGGAAGTGTCACTGGCACCACTGTGCAGGTTGGCTGTGCTAGATGCACAAGGGTCACCCTCCGACTGTCCCTGTTCCCACACGCAGGGACAGCTCTGCAAACCAAGTCCACACAGCTCCATCCCAGGACACTTCTGCATCTGTGGGCAAGTGTCTTGGTGCCTTCATGCACATGCCAGCACTGCCTTGGCCTCAGCAATGGTGGTTTGGGTCCTCTACCACCTGCCTTGGGTGCAGGATGCTCCCACCATGCTCAGACACAGAAGAAACAGCCCCCAAAATTGCCTGCCCAATGTGCCTGACCCCAACCCATCCCTGGGCAGGGCTTGCTTAGGCTGTGCCCACCAGGATCATAGAATCACAGGATGGTTTGGGCATCATCTTAAAGCTCATCTTGTTCCAACCCCCTGCCACGGGCAGAGACACCTTCCACTAGACCAGGTTGCTCCAAGCTCTGTCCACCCTGGCCTTGAACAGTGCAGGGATGGGAAGGATGCGCTTCCAGAATGCACCTCACCTCGTAAGACAGTGATGTTTTTCAGCATCTCCCCATGCCGGACGTCCACCACCTTCATCTCCTCCATGACCATGGACAGGTTGCGGATGTCGAAGTCCAGCCGGGCGCTGAGCAGGCTGTACCGCTCCCGCAGCAGGTCCGTGGTACCCTGGACCAGGCTGAGGGACTTGTTCAGGTAGTAAAGCTCCTCGGTGTGGGTGTGGAAGCCTAAGGTGCAGGAGAGCCTCACATCATCCAGGTAGCGCAGCATGCTGTGGACATGGCTGTCAGTGGCGTTGATGTTGGTGAAGATGGTGCTGATCTCAATCTCATGGGAGGCCATGCGACCTTCCAGGGTCTCGAAGCGCTCAGCCGTGCGGTTCTGTGTGTACCTGTTGTGGTAGCGCAGGTCATTCATGTTCTCCTCATGGTCATCCAGGAAAGAGGAGATGTTGTCCAGCTGCAGCTGCAGCCCCATCACCTGCAGCACCAGGTCGTGCATGCTCTCTGAGTTCTGGCTGACCTGTCGAGCTGCTGTGCTGATGCTGCCTTGGATGCTTTTCACCAGCTCACTGGTCCTGGAGGAGGTGGCCCGCAGTCCACCGAAGAGGCGAGTGTAGTTCTGCCACTCACTGACAATCTTCTGCAGCGTCAGCGTCTCCTCATCCGTCTTCCTCTGGATGACCTGGATCCAGTCAGAGGTTTGTCCCAAGGTGAAGTTCATCTGCTGCATGGCTGCTCGGACATCATAATGCTCCTGGGCCAAGCCCTTGAGAGAGTTATCTAGCTGGGAGGTGACAGCCCGCCAGCCCCCAACCTCGGCCAGGAACTGTCCCAAGCTTTTGTTGACCTGCCGGATGGAGAAGGAGCAGTTGTCCACCTCGCTGGTGATCTTGTTGCTGGTGGACGAGAGCTGGTCGTGAGCCTGAGAGGTCCGGTCGAGCAGGATCTCTTGAACCAAAAGCATCTTCTGGATCTCCTCCAGCTCACCCTGCAGCTTGGTGATCTCCTGGCCCAGCTGTCCCGTCTCGTGGCAGAGGGAGCAGTTCCCAGAGGTCTTCTCATCTAAATGAAGGGCAGAGGGTTCTGTCATCCCACCCCATCCCTTGCTGGACCTGGAGACCCTCCTGCTGAGAGTGGAGGAAGAAGCCTCACCATAGTTTATCCTTGTAGACCTGGAGATGAGCACCACGGAACCACTACTGGGACAACCCCAATGCCATCAGTCTGCGCCCTCATCCTGCTCCTGCCACCTCTGTGCAGCAAATTCTCCAAACAGCCCCATCCAACCCCACTCCCAGGGTCCTACAGTTGTCCCTCCCCAAAGCCCTGGGAGATAAGTGGGGTTTTGGCTCTGGGGGAGCATCAGGACCTGAAAAGTGGAGATGCTTCAGCCCTGAGGTCCACTCAGCTGGAGGGACACATGGAGTGCCAAAGCCTGGAGAAGACTTCCAGGTCCAGGTACAAGCCACTCACCCAAGCCCTGGAGATCCTCCTGGATGGATACGATCTTCTTCTCATAATAGGTCTGGGCTGAGCTGATGTCACTGGAGATGGAGTCAACTTTCCTGAACACTGCGGAGGAAAGCTGGTGGGTCAGGGAAGGAGGACAGGCACTGGGATTCTATCATCCTCCCAGCTTGTTCCCTGGCAAGGAGGGTGGCCAGTGCCTGAAGAGCCAGGCTGGGGGGTGCTGGCTCTGCAGGGTGGTTGTATGTCCCCAAGGGCTTTCAGGTTCAGGGCTGGGCTAAGACCTACAGAACATCTCGTGAGTCCAGCCCTGGGGAGTGTGCTGTCTCTCCAATGAGCCTCCGAGGCTGTTTAGTGCCTGTGGAGGTGATGGGGTGGCAACCTTTGGGCTCTGAAATGGTTCCTGAAGCCTTTGTGAGGGTAAACCCCTGCCAAGGTGGCATCACGCATAGGGTTCCACAGGTATCGTAGGGGCAGGTCAGGAGGAGCTGGATGCTCCTCTCCACGCCTGGGTGTTGCAGGCATTTTGGGAGAGCCCCAGGATCCCCATGGGGCTGCCCCAAGGAGGGCAGAAGGGAAGGCAGGAGCTCACCCAAGGCAGCCAGAACAGTCACAGCCACGATGAGGAGGATGGAGAAGACGTAGAGGACTTTGACGGCCGTCTGGAGGGAAAGGTTCTTCTGGCACCGGCTGCAGCTGGTCTGTGCCCTGCCTGAGCACAGAGAGGGAAGGATCAGGCCCCGCTGCACCCCCTGCCCACCCCTGGGATGTCCTTACCACTCGGTCGGTAGCTGAAGGTCGGCATCTCCTCTTCCTCTCCTCCCACCGGCTCCTCTTCTGAAAGCCAACACAGGAAGGACCAGAGCTGCGGGTGCTGCCGAGGCTCTGCCTCCTCTGTGC